GTGTAAGATGATCAGCTGTGAATGACTTAACTATTCTCAGAAATATGATCCAAGACAACTCTGAAAGACTTATGATGAAAAATGCTATCCATCCCCAGAGAAAGAATAGATGGTGTCTGAATACAGATTGAAGCATGCTTTTTTTTTTACTTTATTTTTCTTGAGGTTTTTTCTGTCTGTTTTCTTTCACAACATGACTATTATGGATATGTTTTGCATGACTACACATGCATAACCTCTATCAAAATGCTTGTCTTCTTAATTGGGGCAGGAAAGGAGTAAGGAAGAGAATTTGGAACTCAAAGTTTTAAAAATGAATGTTAAAAAAATGTTGTTACATTTAACTGGGGGAAAACAGAATACTGAACAAAAAAAAAAGAATTCTTTTTCAATTCCTTTGTAAACTTTTAAAATTATTTCAATGGCCTACTTTTTCTTTTTGCATCACTATTGGTATTCCCCTCCCCTTTTAATCCTTTCCTCCAACTAAAAATGGGAGGAGGGAACCTTGTAACAAATAGGCATAGTCAAGAAAAAAACAAATTTGTACACCCATATCCAAAAATGTATTTCTTGCCAAATACCTGTAAAAAAATGTTTCTAAACAAAAATAGATTTCTTTTTCCTCACTGTGAGAGTATCTTCTCTCTGTAAGGAGGTAGATGAGATGCTTCATTATAAGTCCTGTGGAGACATTGTTAGTCATTGCTTTGAACAGAGTCCTTAAGTCTATAAAAGATAGTTTTTCCTTTATGTGGTCATTTTCTAAACTGTCCTGCTGTCTTCACTCTGCATCAGTTCTTCCCAGGATTCTGTGAAACTGTTCCTTTAGCCATTACTTATGGAGCAACACTATTCCATTAAGTTCATATAGCACAATTTCTTTAGTCATTTCCTGGTTAATTCCCTAGTAACAATGTTCAACTTAAGTCAAAAAGGGCCCACCAAACCCTACATAAAGATCCCTGTGGACCACATCTTAACTTAAAAAAACCTTGTATTAACATTACGTTTTATTGTATTTTTGTTTATTTTGTTAAATATCTCCCATTTACATTTAAATCTGGTTCATGCCCCACTCTGGAGAGCTGTCAGTTGCATGCCCCATGAGTTTGACACCTCTGCTCTATACAACTATTAAAATGGGTTTCCAAAAGCACAGTTCTAGCCATGCTATCTCCCCTACTCAATAAATTCCAGTGACTTCTTTTACTTTTCACATCAAATATAAACTTCTCTTTTTGATATTTAAAGATCTTCACAATCTAGCCTCTTCTTATCTTTCTAATCTTCTTCTTCTTTTTTTTTTAGGCAGTTAGGGTTAAGTGACTTGCCCAGGGTCACACAGCTAGTAAGTGTCAAGTGTTTGGTCTGAGGCTGGAGTTGAACTCAGCTCCTCCTGACTTCAGCACCAGTGCTCTATCCACTGCACCACCTGGCTGCCCCTTTTCTAATCTTCTTACACATCACTTACTCTCCTCTGCAAACTCAATGGTCCCATCACACAGGCCTATTTGTTGTCCCTCACACAGCATCCATCTCCCATCCTCCCAAGCCTTTTCAGTATGTTCCTCAGGTTGTGATGTTGTTGCTATTTACCTCTGCCTCTTAGAATCCCTGGCTTATTGCAGGACTCAGCTCTCCTGGACTCCCCCAGCTACTAGTGCTTTCCACTGTAAAGTTACATTCCACCTATTCGGTATTTATCTCATATATCTTTTGTTGTCTATGTATCCCTCATTAGTATGTAAACTTCTTGAAGTTAGGTTCTGTTTTTGCTTTTTCTTTGCGTAGGACCCTTTCTGGGCTACTCTCCCAAAGTGCATTCCCACTTGTGGGTTGAGTACTCAGAGGATGATTGCTACCACAGATTTGTGGGTTAATGCTGTGTGATTGCATTCCTAAACCATAGCTTGTGAGCCCCCACTGGTGTGCTTTCTATTAACAATCATGCCAGTATACACAAGCAGGCAATGGAACAAGCATTTATTAAATACCTACTGTGTGCCAGGCACCGTGTTAAGACTTTTGCAAATATTATCTCATTTGATCCTCACAACAATCTTGGAAGGTGGGTGCTATCATTATTATTATTATTATTATTATTTAGTATCAAGAAAGTTTATTACAGAGAAAGTCCAGAGGATTTAGACATTTCTGGCCAGAAGCAGGCTCCACCTCAATTTCTAGATCAATCATACTGGGAAGAAGAGTTAGTATGTATTCTTGAGAGGGATACAGAAGCAAAGAGGGAATGACCATGATTCATCCATTGGCTTCCACATTCATAAGCAAACTGAGTGGTGAAATTATTTAGTAGAAACTATTTTGAGGTTAAGCCCATTCTCTCC